CACACACACACACACACACACACACACACACACACACACACACACACACACACACACACACACACACACACACACACCTCTGAGGACCAGTCTGGACCTCACGATGGCTAAAAGCAAATGCTCATTAGATCTAAAGGACTTGGAGGGTACGTAAAGCTACAGGAGGTCAGACAGGGGTCTGTACTTTCAGGCACTTATATGTCATCAATAAAACTTTGAAATCAGCTCTAGAACAAACAGGAAGTCGATGTAGAGACTGTTAGAGTTAAAACACGAGCTGCAGCATTCTGAACTGACTGCAGTCATGAAGAGTGTGAATCACCCGTTCAAGGTCATTAAAGTAGAAAACAATTTCACTTTAGATAAAAGTCTTGGTTTAAAAAAGGATATCTTTACTACTGAATTAATCGGTTTCTCAAGGTTAAAATTTGATCTGCTCTTTCCATAACCACGTCACAATCACGTTTGTAGATAAGGCATGAGTCTAGATTAGTCCTGTCATGGCTATGCTGCCCTGCTCCATTCAATACACTGCCACAACAATAATAAACCACCACCTCCTTGCTAAATGTTTTATGCCTCCTCAAAACCATTCTGGCCCAATCACACTCATTCACATGTAAGCTGAAGTGCACAATGTGCCTCATTTTCAGCTAAAAACCTTAAAACAGTGGAAAGACCAGAACTAAATCTATAGAGACTCCTGTCAGAGTCTCGATTCCTACAAATCCAGGATGCAAAGCACCCAGGAGGGGATGAACACAACAGTTACTGCAGGAGGAAGAGGAGGGCAGCAGAGGGCGCTAGCTGCAAGGCTASGCGACGAAAATGATCACAACAGACTAAAGTTAGACTCTTTTCCTTTAATCAGGACTCAAGCTTGTATTGATTTCCAGAGTGAACAGACAACTTGCAACCAGACATGACAAATATTTGCAGGGAACTGGTTACTTCCTGTCTGCCTCAGCAGGGCTGTGAGAAGCGTCTGGTATTTATGAGTCAACGTGCCTCAGTGTGTGTCTGCTGGAAATATAGTAGCAGCTCTGTGAACTTCCTCCTCTGCTCATTATGGCAGCCGACACAGTCTCATCCATCAGGCGGAATAAARCCTCGTCTCTCCTCACATTTCCACTGCCTCCTGAGCTGAATCTCATGGAAGGGCTAAAACACTTGCACCCGATACATCGCGTACCTAAATCTGCCCGTCTGATTTATGGGTTCTTCTATGGAAGCGTGAGCCAACACGTTTGAGCATTTAAACACCAGTGACAGAGTGGGACACTCAGGGAGGGAGGAGGGGGCTTGTGTAAACCCCACAGACTCTCAGCWGACCTCACTGTAATATTTAGAAAGAGTTGGACTCACACTGTTCAGAGACAATAAATCTACAACTGAAATTAAACTAAAAATGAATTCAAAGTTTGCACACTTTTCCTGCAATAAAATTCAAGCACTTTTCAAGCATTTTTAAGGTAAATCGTCAAACTTTTCTAGCATCAAATGAACATATAGAAGATAACGGTGGCACAGCACAGGATGGAACATCCATACAGCAAATGATGATCCATCCTTCAGACAATCAATTTGTAATAGGGGTGTCCCCATACCGATACCAGTATTGGGTCCGATACCAGCATCAAGTACTCATACTCGTACTCGTAAAAGCCGGCCTATACTCTTAACCGATGCCGCTTTTGTCCCCTCCTGTGCTGCGCTGCAGCACAAAGGGTAAACAACAGTCCATACCAGGCGGTGGCGCTAATGTACTGACAAGTTATTTCCGACCGCACCCCCGAATAAGAGAAGAAGAACGATGACGGTAGAAGAAGAAGGTCGGCAGTTTGGAGATATTTTAAGATCGGCACGGAGGACACCAAACAAGCAGACTGTCTGCTGTGCTCTGCTAAACTGTCCAGAGGAGGAGGAGCGAAAGTTGGATGTTTTAACAGCAGCAATTTGATKAAACATTTGAGGACAAGACATGACAAAGAATTCAAAGMGTTTGCTGCTGCTAGCAGTAGCCTTCATGAACAGCAGTACATGCAGCAGTTGTTGCAGTAACTTCAATGCTGTTTTTTCTTTCTTGTAGAACAAACTAAGACATAAGCAGAATATGGAAGGAAGTTTGTTGTAAAAGCATTTTATTTTTCCCTCTGGTTCTTCTGAGATTTTGTTTTAGTTGTTCCATTTAAGTTTGAACTGAAATTTACTGCACTTTATTACTATTAGTCATTTTTTGTTAACAGTTTAAGACTGAAGCAGAGYAAACTTCTATAGATGTGCTGCTAAAATTTACGTTATAGTTTACATTTTAATTTAAATTTGGTAGTTGCATGTTGAGGAAAATGTGTAAAAAATAACTTATATTTTTAATGTATGCAACAGCATTTGTTTTGCAGTATTTGTATTGTTAATACATTCAGAGGGAGTGTGGCCTTATAAAAAAGAGCCTGTTTGAAATAAAATAAATGGTTTCAAAAGTTATGGTGTGATATATATATACCAACTTACCTACTTGTCAGAGTTTGCATTACCTTTTTATTGTCAAACACAATATTTACCCATCAATTTT